GCGAATAAAGCGCGGTGCGGCAGACGACAGCTGGGCATACGCAATACGTGTCCTAACCAGCGAAGCCGACTAATCTGAATTCGACGGGACAACGAATTCTCCGTCGACTCATTGCCCAACACGCGACGACTTATCTCAGAGTTGCTTACAAGCTCACTTTATCCAACCCGCGCCAAACTACGTGAACATCTGCAGTCGAATACTTTTAGACGACGAATATCTTCTACGCGCAAATGTTGAGCCTCGCAACCATAGAGCAGAACTGACCGCACACGGGCGCAGTAAACGCGACCCTTCAGTTTTAACGAAACATCGCGTCTGCAATAAATGTGTTTCAGTCCTGCGTAAGTTGCTTGAGCCTTGGAAATGCGGGCGGTTGCTTCCAGGGTGTCATTACCCAATGAAAGTGCAGGAACGGGTTCTGGCAATCTTGCAACAATACTGCACTTTGAGAGTGCAAAGGACATAACATTGCGAGTAACCTCAATTGACAAACGATTCAACGACTCTTGAATCATTCGTGCGTTGTCACCGAGTAAGGCAATATCATCGATTTACTCTAAGTCTACGACTCTGTCTCCAGGATTCCATTGAATGAACCCCGCGGAACAACCCCAATTGATCAAATTCGATTGAAGGTTGGAAGTTTTGATTTGATGCTCAGACAATTGGGGTATAACACTCAAGGATGTACAACCGGCACCTCTCAGTTTAAGGTTCGTGGTCTCCAGACAAGATTACATTGAAACAAACTGGAATGGTTATAGTGATCCGATCCGTTTCCGAAGTATCAGTTTCCAAGCAGCCTGTGAACGAAAGAGATTCAGATTCAGCAGAGGGTTGGGGGGTGGGGTGGATCTTAGTCTCGAATTCTTTGACCAGTCTGAAGTACAGCGGACAAACAGCAAAAAAGCCGTTCACACAAAATGAGATAGGGTATCGAGAGAGGAGTGGGACCCACTTGCAAATGATCATCATCCGTAATGGTCAACCGGAAATCCAGGGCATTCAGACAGCACGGGATCAGATGTCGGAACCGGAACCAGGTCAACTGACTGAATTCACGCAACGCAATACTCAGTGAATTTGTGCACGCGACAGACGCGCTGGGCACTACCGACCCACTCTGACTGGTCGCTCGACCCGGGGCGCTCGGGGCTGTTGGTGGACAAGTAATGCTACTCGAAATTGGATTCACCGTGCCATCGGGGGTTAGTTCAGGCAGATCGGATACCAAACGACCAAGCTCATTGAGCACGAAACGAGAGGAACCAACCGTCTCGAAGAACGAGTCTGACCCGGTCAATTGGGTTTCGTGCAACCGTGTGAAACTCTGAATCACCGTCCACGCGGAGTCCATGCCGGATCCAACAGGGTTCGTATTTTCCGAATCGTTGGAACAGATTGATGAGATCATATCTTCATCTTCCGTCTCAATGGAACCAACACGGGACAGATGCTCCAGGCTTGAGTTTGGAAGTGATTCAGTCGTGGTGAGGAGCAAACCTACCAAATGAAAACAGGTGCATATCTTGAAGAGCCGGAGCAACAGAAGTTTATCGAGGAGTTTAATCAACAACAATGCGTGTAATGAATGCTGGAAATCTAATTGCCCATCCATTGCAAATGGGGTGTTTTTGGGATGCTGTGGTTACACCTACTCGATTTGCAACTAGCTGACACGGCGTTTCAGTTTCAATGTTTTAACAACCATCAACTTTCGTGCACCGGTTTTGGTTGCTGTCTTTTGGTGCCCCATTTGGATAAAATAGCAGAATAAAAATTGAAAGCAAATTCAAGTGGAATATAGAGAATTCATATAGTGCTTTTAGGAGAGTAATGAGTGGATGCACGAGCACCACTGTTTGCGACAGCCAGCCATATCACTGTGTCTCTAACCATCAATGATCGTCATCTCGGGATCTCCAGCCAGGGAACTTAACCGGGCACATGTGACCTTGTCTCCTGGTTAAGGTTTCCATACCCGCATATCAGGTCTTCGTTTGACCACCTTTGACATTTTTCCAACTGTTGACACAAAAGCAATGCTGAGTAGCACAATTTCGCGTTGATTGTATTTACAGTCCTGCCTAGATTTCGGATCAATCGTAAGGAAGTTGTGCGTCTGTGTGTGCGGGTTAGCATTGTGCTAGACAGCATATACCGAGGCTGAACAGAATCAACCGGTTTTGATAGATTTCCGTCGGTGGATTTGCATTACTGAAAAGCTCTAATGAGAGCGAATTTCGACTAATTTTCTTCCGGGATATATGGTTAACTGAATGAATGCAAGATAATGCTTGAGGGTGATGGATGGCCAACTCAAATCAGAATCATGTCATCCGTACCACTACTCACAAGTAAATGTGAATTGGAAGAGGAAGGAAAATTTCGTGATTAGCGAGAAACGTTATTGAAACGCAAAGACATTTCATGATCGGAGTGCTATCCGTTAGAATGCAATTACGCTGTGGAAGGTGATATACCTACCCGAAGGTTGTAGAGGATCACACAATAGGACCTGCAGTTCTTCCGGTTCCGGTTCACGGATCTCGAGAAATACGCTTCCATGGTCGGGACGACGAGTGGTGCTAGACGGAGTGCGATTGACCGATAGACCGGGATTGGTCAATAAAGAGTCTGATGAACCTCCGACTGCATCTTCTAACCCAGCGTCTGTATTGGACGCATTTGGTTCCCCCGAAGATTTTCCCGCACGTTCACTAGACGGACCTACAGTTTCGAACTGCACACCGACTGGTGATTTTTCTGCCTCCTGAATAGCAAGAATAAGATGAGACCGGTCATTCGTTGTGTTAAAAGCGTTTGAGCGATCACCACAAGCACTACAAGTTATATGAGCGATATGATATGACCATTAGGGCCGTCAATATAAATCGATAAGCGAAACCGATTGAAGCACAGGGTCTGAAGTAAAACGCATTTTTGACCAGGTATTGCGTAGATCTGATCATGAATTGAAAGTTTTATCATCTAGTGAAGAACAATGAGGCTGGAAACGGTTAATTATCGACTCCATTAACCGCGCACGTACGTGTTGGTGATTAATGTACCGGCTTGTAACGATGTCTACGCCCAAATAATCTGTTCGCTTTTGTTTATTTGGCATCCAACAATAGGAAACTGCAGTGGTTTGAAGGCTGAGCCAAACAAGAAATGCAAAAACATGGCGATGTTAATCGCGTTCGAACTCAGGAACTTACAATCTGATAAGTAGACAGCCAATACCATTTAACAACAAAGAATTGATCGTCTATTCAAGTTAAGAACAATCTAATGTCAATACCGCCTACAAAAGCCTCAGTATGGTCGGGGGTAGGTGTCTAGAGTTGCGGCTGGTCATCCTTCCCTTGCACCTCGCGAAATGCTCCTATACAACCAAGCGTTTCAAATAGATTCTGCTGAGGAAGACCTACTCACTGCCTTCTCGCTGCGGAGGTGTCTTGCCACCAAAATGAGAGAAAGAAAAGCCGACAGCCGGGGCTATAACCGCGTTGGTGGACCACGGCAGTTCACCTAGGGGGGGGGGGGGGGGGG